AATGTATTACATGTTGACAACAAAAGTAAATGCCCTACGGGCTTATAACTTTCCAAGTCAACACTTGATTACAAAAAGGAGAGTAATAACTCTACACAAAATAAGTCATTCGCTTGATATACATGTAATACAAAAAGTAATCAAAAAGGTCTCTCAGCCACTAAGCCTCGCAAGTTACGTCCTTGGAGGTGGCATAACACCTGTACCTGAAAATGATGTCCCATATAGGGTGAGCCAACGCCCAGTAGAGATATGCTAAACATAATATGAGCAATAACTAAAACATTAGCACTTGATAAACGTTTAACTCATATAAACCAACATACAGTACAATCCAGTTCCATAATCTTTCACTTGACAAAAACTCAACTTATAAACACGACTCAAAACCTGGCCAAACAACTTAAGTGAGACTACATCTCATGTCAACAATACTTCAAACTGCCATTTTACGGAAATTGCGTCCGCTGGATTCGGCACCCATGTATAATTATTTTCTTATGGCCATTTTATGGAAATTTCATCCGTGGGACTCGGCACCCATGTATAGATATTTTCGGATTGCCATTTTACGGAAATTTCATCCGCGGGATTCAGCACCCATGTATTCAAATACTCATCATATACAATGACTAATCAATACACAAATTCGTTGTATTATTCCAACCGTCATACTCAATGACATACTTAAATTGATTAGTTTTAATTCACCTAATCATCATGCAGTGTCTACAACAATCAAGATAGGTAGCTTTCGGCCTTAAACCTTCCCTAGTGATGGCCTATCGGATTTACTAACTAACTAATGGACGCGATGCCTTAAATTGTTCAGTCGTTTGTAAGTCAAGACAATATATTTCTCACAAAATATTTTCTAACACATCGTGGTTTTCATGATTGTGTTCATTTTGGCCTTGAACGCTCCTGGTTGTTCATGAGTGCTTCTAGAGAATTTAGTCTCTTCATTCTCATAAAATCGGCCCCAGTTTGACACTCATATAGGTGATTCTTATTGTGAGTATCTCTTATACTCGTCTTGATTTTTATGCCTAAATCAAGATATAAGTAATCATTAAAAGCAAAGCTTATCATTAAATCCCTGCGTACGACACATGTTGCAGATATCACTCTCACCATTTTATATAATTAATTTGGGAATGCTATGGGATTATGAGATTGAGTTGGGAATAATTAAATTGACTCATTATGTAGTAGAATGGTGGAGTTGGATTTAATAATCACTCGCCTTTGAGAAATTATTGATAATTTATCTGTTGGTGCATTTATTATTCCAATCGTTATACTCAATGACATACTCAAATTGATTAGTTTTAATTCACCTAATCATCATGCAGTGTCTACAGCAATCAAGACTATCCTCCACCGATAGCCCAAAACAGTTATTTCTAAACAGATAATAAATGCACCAACAGATAAATTATCAATAATAAGGTAAGCACCTTGATTACTTTTTTGTTTAATTATTTTTCCTGTTCCAAATTATGATTTTGTTTTTGTAGCAAAATAAAAATCTGTTTTTATTTATTTACTTTTAAAACAAAATCAAAATCTATTTTTATTTATTTGTTTTTATACATTGTTTTGATTTTTGTAATCAAATAGTTTCTCTCATTTCTTTAATCCATTCTTTGAATACAGTGAAGATTGTACAGCACATAGAACTTGTTACAACATTTAGCTTTGAAACAATTGATGCAAATTCTAATGATACAGACAATAGGGTTTAAAGAAGACATTTATTTTAGCTGGTATTTTATTGTCAGAATTTCATTTATTCCTCATCTCTCGTTAATTTTTTAAAAAGCTAATCTATCCAGGCAAAACAGGATTACTGTACAAGCAACAATAATCATGTAAAAGGACTAAGTGAAAAATGAAGCTCAAGAACAAATTAACTGATCCCCTACTTGATGCAGACTTAAATTTGTTGTTTGATCCAGCCTCTGCAACTTTAATTGTTGCCTGAACCTGTTGATGAAATCGTCAGCCTTTGTATCAACCTGTTTATCTTTTATAGCCTTCGTCGAGATTTTATCCGTCCTCTTCAAAGTGAGCGAAAGTTGACTTGGCGCTCGCCAACTTCTGAATCTTCACCTGAAGCTTCTTCGGCAACTCGCCGAAGATGGGGTTGGTGTTGGACTTGGTCTTATTTACGTGATGATGGTAGACTCGTTTAGACTCCTCAAATCATCTTCTAAGATCGCCACCACGAGATCCAGATAGTGAGTAGGCTAAGGTTTAGTTTGGGCAGATGAAGAGAATAGAGAATAGAGAAGAGAGAAGAGAGAGAGAGCGAGAGTCTATTGGTTCTGGGTTTGTGTGTTGAGTTTGGTAGGTTTCGAACAGATAGAGAGAGATTTGATGTGAGAAAATCAAATTTCTCTGCAATATATGGGTGTAGGATTGAGGGATCTTAAACATCAGAAAATATTATTGTGAATCTCATCCATTACTAAAAATAGAAGAGGGACATTATACTAATTTTTTCCCTTATTTACTATTATTTTTGGCAATTTTTGCGATTTTTATTTTATTTTGGGCTTGCTCCACTACGCCGACTATGGCACTACCTCGGAAAAAGTTTTTTACAGCCACAGTGGAGAAAAGCTTACGTACATTGCTTCATTATTCAAAAAATTATAATCTGAACCGCAGGAGTACTGCAATCAGATAGAACAATACAGAAAACAAATCGCGACTTCCATTAAACGGTTTAGATTCATCCATGAAATTCATTTCAACTCGCCGCTTGAGAAAGCGAGGCTGCACCGTAACATCTGAACCCCAGTAGCACATGATCCACTCAAAATTCACCCACTAAGAAAAACCCGCGCAATTTTGAACTTTATTTATTCCACTCTCCTCTTCTTCTCTCCCCCCAAATTCCAAAAATATCAGGAGAGAGAGAGAGAGAGAGAGAGAGAGGAGAGAATGAAGGGTTCAATGGCGAGACACTTGACAGTTCAGAAGCTAGGGCATGTCTCTTTCAAGCCTCTCCAACAATCCTCCTTCTCTATCTCTTTATCTGATTCGTTCCGCTTCCAGAGTCTCCTCGAATCCGAAGCTCAATCCGCAGATTCAATAATTCCTTCTTCATCACCGCCTCTCGATATCGACATTGATTCCAATGTAGACGACAAAGATTTCATTCTCAGTCAGGATTTCTTTTGGTAACTTCTAATTTCTTATTATTCGATTCCAATTTCAAGCATGTACAATAGATTTCAAATTAGGGTGTCTTGATTGCTCAATTTAATAACTAAAATTTACTACAATCGCGAAAACCATGCATTTGATTTTGGGTTCTCTCAAGTGATCTAGTGTAAACTATACTGAATTGCAATGCCCAATATTCAATTAAAAGATGCATCTTGAAGAGTAAAGATAACTCTTCCGACTTTTTTGTTTTTATGAATGCAGCACTCCTGATTATATCACTCCGGACGGTCAATATATATCAAACAGTTTGGATTGCAACAAGGTGATCTTTGAAGAGTGACCGTTAATGTTGTTCGAAATCTGGATTTTGCTGCTGATTTGCTAATGTTTATTTTTTTGCAGGAGAACATTGCTTGTCCCAAGTCACCAGAGAAAATAAAAACTGTCAAAAGCAAAAGGCAAAGGCAGGGTAAGTTTGATTGTTGTGGTGTGCTTGAGCTTTAATTTCTATCATGGGTAGTTCAATTGAAAGAATCTCATTTCATGTGTTTGACTTGAATTAAATTTACAAATGGATTTAAGTAAAGATGCAATTATATTGCTTGTGGCTGTGGTCTCCAACTGAACTTGATCTTATGATGGATGTGATGAGGGATGATAATGATGGCCTATCTTACAGTACGCCATACCCTTTAGAGTGAAGCATAATGGTAGGAAAGCAGCATATGATCATAAAAAAAAAAAAAAATCATTCTTGTCATTTAATGTCATTTCATTTCACCCCAAATTCATTTGTCTTTATTCTCGTGTCAACTTAGGTCATTATTTCCATTTCGTGTTATAATTTCATTTCATTTGTTGTTCCCTTTTTTCTTTCTTTCTTCTTTGGTTGTTTTTTCCATTTAGTGTTATATAATTTCATTTAATTTCCATGTCATTTTTGTCTTTCTCCCCATGTCAACTTGGGCCCTTTTTTGCCCTCTTCCTGTTCTGGCTATGCTTTGAACCTGAATCAAATCATGCCCTTGTAGTAGGTGCTAATGCAAGCTTTAATGAAATGCATTCATATTTTATTGGAATTTTTTTCTTGTACCACCATGCATTCATCTTAACAACTTTGCTTCCACAATTCACCCACACATTTTTTTTGATGGTTATGTTATTTGTTACGTTTTTTTTTTTTTTGAACAACGGAAAATGTTATGTTATTTGTTGACCACCAAGTATTCTGTAAGCATGGCAGCTAAATGTTTGTCTCAAAAATTCCCACTCACATTGGTTGGTATTTTATGATCAAAGTCCATTTAGAGGCACTTTTTCTGCTCCCTTTTTCTGAAGTTAAAGTAGCAAAATAGATCTGGGCACAATAAATCTTTTGATGGAACTGGCCACAATTCACCCACACTTTTTTTTTATGGTTATGTTATTTGTTACGTTTTTTTTTTTTGAACAACGGAAAATGTTATGTTATTTGTTGACCACCAAGTATTCTGTGAGCATGGCAGCTAAATGTTTGTCTCAAAAATTCCCACTCACATTGGTTGGTATTTTATGATCAAAGTCCATTTAGAGGCACTTTTTCTGCTCCCTTTTTCTGAAGTTAAAGTAGCAAAATAGATCTGGGCACAATAAATCTTTCGATGGAACTGGTGATAGGCATTTGCACTTGCTCATTTCTTACTGCTAGAGTTTTTAATATTGATCAGCTTCCTTTTCACCTCAGCACTTTACAATACATGTGCATTAATTATTACTACATGATCTATTGCATTTTCATGTACTGCTCTGACTTTTAATGTCCTGTGTGACTTTTTTTTCTTTGATTTTCAGATGGTTTTAATTTATCTTGCCATGAACAAGTTGTAGAACTTGCCCAAGATACTTTTGGAACAGATGAAATCAATACAGAGAAAGCAATAGGAACTGAACCTCAAAAGAATCATAGTTATGTTTCACAGTCTGCAGTAGCTTTACGTTGTCGAGTTATGCCTCCTCCATGCATAAAAAACCCATACCAAAAGGATGCTTCAGAAACTGATATAGATCCCTTTGGCAATCAAAGGTCAAAGTGTGCAGGTACAAGTTTGGTGGGTTCTTTAAATTTTTTTCTCTTGTTTGGGGAACCTTCTTCTTGAAATGGCATTGCAAAATAGCCATTATTGTTCTAGGTATTGTTTATATAATAATCCTACACTTTTTGATATGATATAATCTAGCTGCTATTTTAGCATCGGGAAGTCATGTTTTTAGAAAATAGGCTGGACTTGGCATCTCATATTATGCAACTTTTAGGAGAATATAGTAAGCCAAAGACATGCTTTAAATCCTAAAGCATAGGCCATTTATTTTCCTGTTACTTTCCATTGACAGAGTTATGAGGAGGGCCTTTAGGGGGGCAAGGGTAGGTAGGATTCAACATGGTTTTGTTGTTTTGTCAGAATCCTTATTTCGTTGACTCTGCCTAACCTCATCAAGTTTCACTCCGTAGGTATTCTTCCTACCATTATTGGTGGAGATGGCCTTTCACGCTATTGGACAGATTTTCATGAAATTGAGGTACATTTCAATTTGTAGCAAATTCTTAGATTTTGCAGATGAAATATTTGTGCGTATAACCCACATTTTCAGGCTTCTAGCACTTGTGTAATTTTCTGTTAATCTGTTTGTTTCCAGCAAATTGGTAATGGAAACTTCAGCTGTGTTTTCAAAGTCTTGAAGAGAATTGATGGTTGCTTTTATGCAGTGAAAAAAAGCACAAGGCTGTTACATCAGGATACAGAAAGGTACCTTTTCCATCCTTACAAATGTCAATACCCTCTATTTGAGCAATTTGTTCATGAAGTAACTCTTGCAGGAGAAAAGCTTTGATGGAGGTTCAAGCTTTGGCTGCTTTAGGTTTGTATATAACTCTTTTGTTAATTTTCCTGTTGTCTTTGTAAATATTACGTTAAGCATTGTCCTTTACCTAAATTTGCATTTCCTCTTTGCAGGATTCCATGAAAACATAGTTGGATACTATTCTTCTTGGTTTGAAAATGAGCAGCTATTTATCCAGATGGAGCTCTGTGATCACAGTCTATCCATTAGAAAACCTTCTAAATTATCCACAGAGGGGGAGGTGTTGGAAATAATATATCAGGTTAGTATGATTTGTGGAATCTGAGCTTTGTATTTGAAAAATGGTCTGTCTGTCAAATTATATATGCCAAAGTCAGTCTACTAGAACAATTCTGGACCACCCAATTCACAGAACTTCCTGAAGTGCATTAGATTTCTTCTTTTACATGACATAAGAATCAAACAGTCCAAATCAACTGATATCCTAATACTTTACCATGTATACTAATTTTGGAGATATTTTGTCTTTCATTGCATTTTTTATCATTCTATTATTTTTAGGAAGTTGAGGAATGATGTAGTTTAGATTTTATTCTTATTTTTGCAATGACCCTGACCTTCTAGTAAGGATTCAATTTTTGCTTGAATACGCTAGTCAAAATAAAGATTTGTGCTCTGAAATGCTGGGAACAAAATGGGAATACGAATTTTATTTCTGCAGAATAAAAATAAAAGGGAAACTCTATTCATACAAAAAAACACTAGAAGAATGATGTGACAGTGTTATTCTTCTAAATAAAAAGGCATCCTAATGGGTGTTTGGTTTTGAAGTGAGGTCCACATCAGCATTTTGTATTTCTGAATGAATTTTCTATTTGTATGTTATTACTCAAAATAAAATTATTGAATACACCAGTCGGTAGGTGTTTTCAGGTTTTACCAAACGGGACTTGTGGATTTCTTATTCAGGCAATTGCATGTCAATTCAAATTAGTAAGATTTTTTAAATTTGTGCAGATAGCCAAGGCACTTCAATTCATACATGAGAAAGGGATAGCTCACCTAGATGTAAAGCCTGATAATATTTATATTAAAAATGGAGTTTATAAGCTTGGAGATTTTGGGTGCGCAACTCTCCTTGATAGCACCCTGCCAATTGAAGAAGGCGATGCACGTTATATGCCCCAAGAAATACTCAATGACAATTATGATCATCTTGACAAGGTTGATATCTTCTCCTTAGGAGCTGCCATCTATGAGCTTATTAGAGGGTCAGCATTGCCAGAATCAGGGTATCTTTCTTTGAATCTCAGGGAAGGAAAATTGCCTCTCCTTCCCAGCCACTCAGTGCAGTTTCAAAACTTACTCAAGGTAATTTTTTTCTTTTCTGCATCTTAAAAACTACTCAAAAATAAATATTACTGTCTTTAGGCATTCTTCCCTAGGTTGCTTCTAAACAGTTAGGACTTGTTAGGTAATGTTTTTGTTTTAAAAAAAATTGATGACTGGAAACAAAAACATTTTTAGTGACTGTTTCAATTTCCAAAAAAGTGGCAACGGTTTTCCAAATTTTCAAAACTTTAAGAATACTAAAAAAGATGTTTTCACTTCTTTTGAAAACAAGTTTTTGTTTCTTCCTCCCTCCCCCTCCACTTGGAGGCACCACCCACTGCTGGCCACCCTCCATTGCTGCCCACCCCCTCTGGTAACCTCTGGCCAACCCACCTCTGGCAATTCACCAAATATTTTTTTTAGTTTTTTTGTTTCTTTTTATATGTTTTGAAAACATTTGTCTACCAAAAAAGCTTTTTGTTTTTGTTTTGGTTTTTTCCAAAAAAAAATCGTTTACAAACTGTCCCATACTAACCTTCAGCCATAACGTCCCACAACCAGCAACCACATCCAGCCAACGTGATTTTGGACAACTTTTGTGTTTTAGCTTTTTATTAAAAAGATTGATTAGAACTTATAACCGGATGACCTTGGTTATTGTCGGTTTGATTCATTTTGGTAATACAAATTTTATAGGCTGTTTTAACCTACGAAACGAGCTCATTTTTATTGGTTTCGCGTAAACTAAAGTAAAACATTATTCTGCACACTTTTCATGTTTTGAACTTTTTCAAAAAAAAATCATCTTAGGGCAGTTTTTGTTCGTTTTCAGCTTTAGACTTTTCTATTGAATTCCGTCTAGATTTTTAGATCAAGTTTTTCTCTTAACCTGTTCTGTTTCTATTAAATTTGTTCGTGTAGTCTTTTAGGAAATTTGATTCTGTACAACTTTATTTCTTTGAGTTTTGGTCAATTCATTATTTACGCAAGAAACGGTGTATTTTTATACTTATTCAGCAAGTTACTTATGATTAAATTATACTAACTTTATTTTTTTTTGCAAGATAGTGGGTTTTACTAACTTTTTTATGCAGGGCTGACCCACCATATTTTTATTACTATTTTGTCTATTTTATGATCAATTTATATTTTGTTGTGCACGGACAAGAAACTAAATGCCACCGTATCTCGAGAAACTACCCATTCGTCTCGGTGCGGTTGGAACTACTTGTCTTGTCTCGTAATAAGAATTTAATGCATTTTTGTTTGTGTCTGGTGGACATGTGGGTGTTAAATCTTGTACTCATACCAGTATACCTGTATACTGACCCGTTTTGTCTCTTGGCAACTCGGGTGCGTTCTGTTTGAGCGCAGCTGAGCTTCCTTTGCAGGATTAGTGGGGCTACGGCGGTGACGTGGATTTACGATAGTGTTGGACCTATCATTTGAACTTCTTTTGTTTTCTTGAGCTTAGGATTGATATTAGACTATGTATTTATTATTCTCTTTATGACTTAGTATTGGAATAATTTGGCATGGTTTGTAACCGTACTTTATTTAAGTTGTGTTGACTAGTTATTGTTACCTTGATATTGAGGTATTGGTTAGTTATGAATTTATGGTGGATGGTTTGGTTTGCGTTTAGTTTTTTTGTTTCACCCCTAAGATTTGGATGATGGAATATTGATTAGGGTTAGTTTTAATATAATATTTAATTGTCCGAATTTTGGGGCGTGACAGTTTTCACTTTAGCATCCTTGCATGTGTGTAAGTGACTGCCACGATAGCATGCTTGCTATGAGGCTATTTGCTTAATTGCTATAACTGCATGAATGCCTGTGGATGAAGGCTTCATTACTTGAATTGGAATAATTCATCAAAATGTGAGTTTTAAGCCCACTTGGAGTTGCAAATCATCATGTTTTAAGCCCACCTTGTTTGGTGGCAAATCCGCATTTCTAAGCCCACTTAAGGGTGGCAAATTCAAACCATTTTCGAAAACAAACATTGAATTGTTTTGTTCTAATTTAGGCAATCTAGTCTATACTTGTATGATGTGCGCATCACGAAGTAAGTTAGCTAAATAATCGGAATAAGAACACATGTGTTTTCAAAACAACATATCATACTTAGTAGGAGCCGATCCTTTGATCAGGCGAGCGAGGGTGCTCATTTCAGGACCTTCCTCTCTCGTACCCAAGTTCCTGAGCTGAGGCAACTTTGGTGATGACGGACATGTGGCCTTAGGCACGAGTTAGGGTTTCCTAAATTTCTCTAAAAATAAAGTATTTAGGTGGCGACTCTGTAATCTGGCAAAGCAGTCCATGTTTGGCGCTTTTTGATTAAAATCAGTTTTCCAAAACGATTTGTCGGATTTGGACTCTTTGGTGATTTATCAGTATTACATTACACTTTGTGAGATTAGATTCAGAACCGTGACAGGAGTCCGAACTGTAGTAGCTAGAACCCAATTTGCGCCCTCTCTGAAAGGAGGGTACGCAAAGAAAGTTTGGGCGGTCTACCGTTTCTGGCGACTCTGCTGGGGATTTAGAGAACTTGACTCGAACATCATGATATGTTGTTTTATCTACACTTATGTGTTTCTTTGCCTTGCATTTGCATTGGTGCCCTTAAGTCACAGTGTTTGCCGTCTGTTATTCCTAAACGGTTTACCGGAGGCTTGTTTGGAAAAGCATACCATAAGGTTGACCGGTTACGGGCTCTGCCACGATGAAAACACAAACCTCAGTTTTTATTGAGGCATCCTTTTCGACCATTCGACCTAGTCACATATCGAAAGCCATAGAGACCATTCCAAACTAGGACAGGTCGCTTACCCGAACGTAGGTTGTTTGAAGCCGCTGCGTGTGTAGTAAAACCCTAGCTCCTGACAAAATAGGACAAGGAAACCCTACTCCACCATAGGGGTATTTTGGCTCTTTCTTGCTTGATATGTGCTGTCAGAGTGCGTCTCTACAGGTTGTATGTATTAGTTGCAAGTCTGAGTATCAGCTTGAGGATATCAGTTGAGGCAGATTTTTTTGGGCAGAATTCAGTAAAGAGTACAGTCATTCAGTTATTGTCACGACCCAAACCCGGCCCCATGGGTTTAGTACCGTAACCGGCCAGTAATCCGAGATTACCGAAGGCCTGCTTAACAGTAATACAGTAAAACAGAGTACAGGGCCTGGCGGAAGCCAATACAGTAAATAAACAATGTCCAATGAGCCGTGACAGTCTGTATGCCAAAAAGATTTTTCATGCATTCATACATAAACAGTACAGAAC